TTTCATAATGGTTCCTTTAAGGAACAGGTACCAAAAACAGTATTCAAGTATGGCACTCCAAACCCAGGTTGTAGGGTTTAAGGGCTTAGGGTTCACAATATAGGGTTCGGGGATCACGGAAAGGTAGCCCCATGATCTGTATTCAGGGCTCATGGCCAGCATTGCTGCTTCCCTTATGAGACCTTCAAAACTCTTCGACATGTTGAATACAGAGGGCTCTGATGAAAACAGAAACTAAAGAGCCCTAACTGTAAGATACCATGCAACACTGTAACATTTTCCGTTCCGGAACCATGACCAACAAGGAGCACTAAGGTTGACACTCGGCCTCGCTGAAGAACCGAGGTACCACCTCGGAGGGTGACGGAGACGGAACTTCAGGACGCCCTAAACCCTAGCTCCTAAACCATAGTCCGGGCTGTAGCACTTAACCGAAGCGTCCAAGTAACTAGTACATACTATATCTATCTCTATATCAATATCTATATCTGGATCTTTACCTCTGTATTATGTATGTATATATATATATATATATATATATATATATATATATATGCTCACACCCCCCCCCCAAGACCTACCGCGAGGTGCTTCGGCTAGCAATGGGTAGTAGAACATGTAAGGATTTGAGGAAACCATTAGGATAAAATACACTCATACATAAACAATGGAAACGTATATCGTGTATAATCAATAGTTGAATACACTGTAATGACCTACGACGGCGCGACATCGCCGTTGGCGCATTTGGGCAAGCTTCAATGCCTGCAATTGTTTAATAGGATACTGCCTAAATGTTCCGGATATTCATAACTCTGGTCATATAATGACCATAGGCATAACCCGAAGACAGGACCAAGACAGAACAGTGTCTACATCCTACGTAAGATCGTTAGATGCGCCGGGTAACTTTGTGTTTGTCATTGTCTGTTTTTAATTTTGTTCATGTACTCATAGGCATAACCCAAAGACGGGACCAAAACAGAACGATGTGTGCATCCTACCTAGGATCGTAATGAGGGTTACATGTGCACACATGTTTATTCTGTGTGAAGCTCTTAGGTTACTCATGCGCCAATGTGTATAATAGCTATTACTAGTGCGAATACTAATACTGATACTAAGATTTCTATTCCTACGAATAAGGATATTACTGTTCATAACATAATAGGCTTAATGGTTAATACTAGTATTAAAAATTGCACTACTAATTCGAATAGTAGTGCTGATGGGAATATTAACACTCCTGGGGATACTAATACGCATATTCTTATTAACTGTTCTCAATATGAATACTAATAGTACTAGTTGTTTGGAATACTAATACTTGTCCGAATATTCATACCAATACTCAGGCTACTGCGATTATACATAATAGGACATTAATATGGGTATTCGTATTAAGGTCAGCATTTCCTTCGAAAGTATTCATATGCGCATCATAATTCATCTTAATACTCGTACTGATATGAATTAGTATGATTACAAATACTTTTACGAAGACGGGTACTTTCAGTAATACCGATACTAATATGAATACTAGTGTTCCTACGAATATTAAAAAACATACCCATATTGATAGTAATTTTATTTTTTATTTGTTACCAATATACACGCAAATGCTAACATTAATACTAATATGCACATAAGTGATACAGTTCCTCCGCAGATTAATGCGCATAGTCTTATTAATTATTCTCAGTATTTATATTCACATTAAAAAACCTACACTAACATGAATAGCAGTATTACCACTTGATACTCCAGATAATACGATTATGCATAGTATGAACAGCGATACTGCTATTGATACCAATATTAATGCTCCTACGAATACTAATAATCACGTTCAAACCAAATACAAAAAACAGACACATCAATGTACCAAAGAATCTGTATTTTCACATACCAATAAATAATATACTCGTATACTACTATTCCAATGTTACCATAGACTATGAGACTATACACTGGTTAATATTAACACTAAGAATAAGGCAGAGACTAAGACCAAGACTAATACGAATACTAAAACTCACACTAGACATTAACACTACCATTAGTACACCTATTGTATAGACTTATATTCAGACTAATACTAACGCTGACATTGGAATTGACATTGACACTGACACCAACACTAACAGTAACACGAATCAACACGCTAGAACGCAGATACTAATACTAACACTAATGCCTAATGCACATCTGAAGACTACTGCGCGTAAACAACGAAACCATTTCCGATCAAGCATGCTGCGCGCTGTATTGGCGCTAAGGCTCCGAGAACCAAAAATCCAAAAAACCAAAAAACCAAAAATCCAAAACCTTTGTCAGGGGGGTCGAAACTTTTGGATTTTTTGGTTTTCCTAGGGTTTTTTTGGTTTTCCAACAGAAAACCAAAAAAATCCAAGGTTTTTTTGGTTTTCCAGCAGAAATCAAAAAAAATCCAAGTTTTTTTTTGGTTTTCCAGCAGAAATCCAAAAAAACACAGGTGTTTTTTGGTTTTTCACGAGAGACACAGCAGAAAAACCAAAAAAACCTTGTGTTTTTTTGGTTTTCCACCGAAAATCCAAAAAAAGCCATGGTTTCGCCAAGGCAAAGCCCAAAAAACCAAAAAAGACCTAGGAAAACCAAAAAATCCAAAAGTTTCGGGCCCCTCAGAAAGGCTTTGGATTTTTGGATTTTTGGTTTTTTGGTTTCCGCCGTCGTATCGTATGGTTTCTTTTAATGTTTCTTGCTTATGAATACAGGCATATGAATTTGAAAGCGGACATGAGTAGGCACGATGTTGTAAAGAGACATGACTTCACATCAGCCATGATAGAGAAGGTATCATCCCCGAAAATTACGCAAAACACGAATCGTATGCCAAACGCGAATCCCTGCCAAGAGAAGGTTTTGACGGTATTTACAATGGAAAAGAGGCCGAGGTAGGTCATGGGGGGGGTGTGTCCATATATATATATATATACATGATTGTATATTTATATATGTATATATATACCTTAACAATTCGAACGGGGGAGCCCGATTGAGATTTCCGACTGATGCTCATGTTGCAGGACTTTCTGGCTTCGAACCACAAATACGATCTGGCGCTTTTTTGGGGTCATGGCTGATTGAGGGCCTACTCGAAGATCGTGGGACTTGGTCATAATACGGTGGTATAGTATATACTCATAACACTATACACCGAGTTGCAAGATCCTCTAATCTGGAGGGAAACCCCAGTTGGCATAAAACTACAACTCTATGCTGGCAGCTCATATCCTTCACATCCTCTTGCCGCACCTGGGGTTAAGCATGTGGGGTCTATATAGGGTCAGGGTTTGGGGCTTTGGGTTTAAAGTGCATGTGGGGCTGGGGGCCATCGCAATTGGACACCGTTTCTCGGGGATCCGGCATTGCATGTACATGCCCGTACCATCTGTCAGGCTCTCAAGAAACTACGTCCACTACAGTGGACCAAAAGAGTAATCTACGAAAGCACCCAAGGCCATCAAGACGGAAACCTCTGAGACCTCATCGCCACATCCTGTCCTGAACTGTAAAGACATCGAGGGCACGGCCACGATCCGAGGATCTTGGCATACAACATATGCTTTCAGCCTTGGAGGGAAGGTCTTGAGAGGGTTAGGGCTGAAGGTGAAAAGGTTCCGTGGTAATCAGGGCGCAGCTCCCTAAACCCTACCTATAGTCTCCATGGTAGTTCCATTTTTTGTTAACCGATCTTATGGTTAGGATCTTATAATGGAGATTCTGGTGAACCAAAAAAGGAACTACAACGGAGACTACAGGAAGGCCCTAAACCGCGGCTTAGCTATCTCCGAAGACGTCCGGCCTCGAACAACTTTGGGCCTTGTACGACGGAAATAACAAGTAGGTTCCAAGGTTTCACAGACCGCTTGCATAGTGAGAACGGAGTTTAGGTGTATCCTATTCTGAAATCATGCAGGGTTGTCGAGGAAACAAAAAACGAATGAATGAAACTGCGGTAGTGAGCCTTGACCCAGGAACACCAAAAGTGAAAAGACAGGGGCAGGGAGCGGGTTAGTGGGCTTCTTCCTGTGGCTGTTGCAACCCCTGTTGAGGATATCCAGTATTTGTGCTCTTCTTCTCATTCTCGTGGACTTCCTGAAGACTTGAACCTTAAGCCCTCAGCCCTAAGGCGAGAGCGGCCTGCAAAGAGTTTCCTCGCGATTGCCAGTCTCAGCTTTGGTCTTCCTCATGCTTTACCCGCTTTAAATCGATAGGTTATGAGGAATTACCGTCCGACAAGGCCAGCACCAGTAGGCTGACTAGCTTTCTTGGCTCCTATTGAACTCTTTACATCCTCACACAAACTACTGCAACTTCACCAACGACGGCCCTGCCAAGATTTCACCTCTGAACATGTGGGTGGTTGTCGAAATCATGGTCCCTTTTTGGGTCCCTACTATACTACGGCACCTTTTTGTTTAAGGTACCCAAAACAGGGGCCATAATTCTGAAAACTACCCATGTACATTGCTCTGGCTAGAACCCCTAAGCCTGAAAACCAAAAGCATCTAAGAAGGAAACTGCGCTGGCTGCCCGTTGCTGGGCTCCTGCGGCCGAGGCAGGAGTTATGGGCTCGGAGCTTCCGGCTCAGTTTTTTTTGTGTAGGTCCTAACCGAGCCGAAAATCTTTAAGTCCATTTTTCTGATATCCTTACTAAGCATGTTCTGAAAGGGCGCATGAAAGTTCGGAATTTGGTGCAACATGCCATGTCGCAACGTGCACTGCGGCGCCTTTTCTGCAGCCATCAGGCATCTTCTCATCCGGCACTGCGTCTAACAGACGGTTCAACACCTCCGAAGTGGACCCCAAAGCTCTGAGACCCACAGCAATGCAAACCAACATGGCAGTCTAAGAAGTAAAGGCTCAGCATCCCAAACAAACCTGATAGCTACTCTGCTGTCATGTTCTCGACGTCCTGCTTGAAGCTATGATCTGGTCCGTTTTCGGATCAAGGCTTACTAAGAACTAATCTCGTCAGCTGACTCAGCATCGAGTCCCGTGCACTTTGCGGCTGCAAGAACCTGACTCAGAGCTGGAAGAAGTTGTTTAGTTACTCGGGGTGTAGGGCGTAGGTGCCTGTAGCACAGACACCCACAAGGCACATCATGCTGTCGTACGCTGTGCTGGTTGTTCTATGTAGCATACCTTTCCTTTTTGTACTAAACTTTCGACTGCTCATGCACGATATAGTATTGCCGCGTACTGTGCTGTTTAATATCATGCCGGTTGAATTGTGCCATATCGCATTACAGCATGTACGGCTCTGTTGAAACTGTGTCACACCGTGCTGCTTTAATTGCCCTAATCATGTCCTATCCACATATAGATATCCCTAACCATGTCCTATCTATATCTATCTATATATATATATATATATATACAATATACATATATACATCTATATATATATATGTGTGTATATATATATATATATATGTATATGTATATGTTCAAACACACACACACATATGTATATATACTGGCATACAAAGTATATATGTATGTATGGATGTTTGTAATGCACAGGCCGGCATTCAACGACACCGGAGATAGCCTCCAGCAGCTCCTCGTGGATGCGGCCGTTGCTGGCGCAGATGGGCCGTGTCCTTACTTTTGGTTACCAGGGAATGGAGGAACGGGGTAGAAGTACAACTACTATTACTACCATTCTTCCATTCCCCACCCTAAACCCTAAACCCTGAACCCTTAACCCTAAACCCTAATCCCTAAACCCTATAATCCCTAAACCCTAATCCCTAAACCCTATAATCCCTAAACCCTAATCCCTAAACCCTATAATCCCTAAACCCTAAACCCTAAACCCTATAATCCCTAAACCCTAAACCCATTCCCTATTAACCAAAGGTAAGTGTCGTCAACTTGAAGTCTTTGCCGATGCAGTCGGTGACCCGGCCCCCGGCCTCGGATCCGAGGGGGTTCAAAAGGGGTTTAGGGCTTGGGGCTTAGGGATTAGGGTTTAGGTTAGGGTTTAGGGTTTAGGGCTTAGGGCTTGAGGATTAGGGTTTAGGTTAGTGTTTAGAGTTAAGGGTTTAGGGTTTAATTTAGGGTTTAGGGCTTAGGGTTTAGGGCGTGCAGGGCATGGGGACTGGAGTCCAGGGTGTTTGGGGTTCAGCGGGTGTAAGAACAGGAGGAGCGGAGTGTGGCACGGATGATGAGACGAGGATTGTAGGGTTCAGGGACTAGGGCTTCTAGGCTCTACAGTATGGGGTAGGATTCAAACTTAATAGTTTATGGCAAGTTTATGGGATGAAGGTGTAGTGAATCAAAGGTTGTTTGGGGTGGGGGATGAGTCACTACGCGGCGTCGGACAGGGTCTGAAATGCCTTCTGCCTTGCAGGCGTGGCTAAAGTTCCCAGGCTAGGGCAAGTATAGGCTGTACGGCTTTTAGGCACAGAGGGCTTCAGGGATGGCGTGTTTACAAGGTTTCTGCACTAAGAACTTTAGGTAACTTCAGGCTTGCCGGGCTTTAGGAGTGGGAGTGACGGTTAGGGCTTGTGGGAGTGACGGTTAGGGCTTGCACCTTGTGTCGAGGCTTGCACTTCTTAAGAGATTAAAGCCGTGGTTTAGCGGCGTTCGATTTTTTGTCGTTGTTGCCAGCCACCGTCAACTGGAATAGAATTTTGGGAGCTTATCATATCATGGAAGAAGGCAACCAAAGGCATAATGCTGGTAAGTATTCAGGTTTCAATATTGAAGGCTGTTCCTCCAGCTCGAAGGTCATAAAGATTAATTACCCCAAACCCGAAACCATAAGGTTTCAGCATCATGGGCAACACTGGCGACCGCCATACTGCAGTTCGATCACGGTGACACGGCCATGGTTAACAAAGACTGCTTCTGGGGTTTAGGGTAACGTCGCAGCTGAACAAAAAATCAATGGCGGCTTTTCGCACCCCCCCGAAAACTTAGATGCCCGTGCAGATACTACAGCATTGTGCCCTGAGGCATGAACACAAGAATGATGAGGCTTATAGGCCGTCTGGTTGAACCCGCATGTAGGATTCTGGACCAACCTTGTGTAAATATAGGGGCCTGCACAAGTAGAGTATGGTGCAGAAGTGTGTTCGGCAAAGCTTCCACATGAATTGTGCTTGCAATCGCTGTCATGCACTGCACTCTTACTGTTCTTACTCTCTCACCCAAAGGGTCTATATACAATACTACTACGGAATTCGGCCCCAAAAGACAATCCCCATTATGGTTTTCGGGACCTAATTCCATAACAGTAGTGTATATGGGAGTTTCAGAAACTAGGGGATCCCAGTATAGTACCCTAAACACTAGGATCCTTATTCTAAGGACCCCTAAGCAAGCACCCCTGATTTTCGGAAACTCTCATATGGACCCTCTTGGTGAACTCCGCCGACCTCTTCCACCAAAAGCACGCCCGCAGCAGAATCCCAACTGTTCAAGTCCGCCTGCGGGGACTTCCCAGACCGCCGGGAGGATCCACAAAGTAGATCCCTTAATGGGGGTTCCTAGAAAGTACCCTTAGTACTATAGGGCCCCAAATTAGGGGATCTACTCTGGGTTGCACCACGGGTACGGGAAGCGGCAATGCCTACATTAGGGGCTCTAATAATTAGAATAGGGTTTAGAGGCCCACTGTAGTAAAGCTACCATGATTTATTCAAGCCCCCCATATTAGCTCGCTGCAACAGGCCATTGCATCTTGAGAAGAGAGGGTCATATACTCTTAGCCAAGAGCCGTCAACCCTAAACCCGCTCTCCTGAAATACCCCTAAACAAACCTCCCAACCCTAATCTCCTAAACCCGAAAAATGCCCAAAGCCCGAAAGCCCAAAATACTTAGCCTAAGCCGATCCACAAATCGTCTGGGTTGTACGTCTTGAGGGTCTGTAGGGCTCAGGACGTGAGAGCTTTTGGAGTTTGCGGTTAACATGCACCCGCGCCACCCCCGCCGGCCCCCAATGTCTTCACGCCTAAAACCCCAAACCCTAAACCAAACCAGTCCCGCAAACCCCTACACCACAGAACAGAAACCGCTCGCCTGCCAAGCCCAAACCCAAACCAGAGTCTCTTAACCCCCAAACCCCTGAAACTTGGACTCTCCATTCCCAAGCCCAAACCCCTCGACCGGCCCCTCATTGCCTAAAACCTAGACCTGAAGCCTCACCATCCAATACCCATGCCTAGCAGTAGCTTAATCCCAAGCCTCCTATATACCCCTGCGAACTCCTGAAATCCAAACCCTAAATCCGCAAGTTTGAATCTCTCTACGCCCCCCCCCCCCTCCCGAAAACCGTAAACCTTGAACCCTCCATGCAAAGAAGAATGCCTCGAACCAGGCATCCAGGCGACCGCACGCCAACCAGGCGAAGTTGATTGCCGCAGAGCCCAAGATGCGAATCGTCCTCTGTTTACAATCCTGAACTTTTCATTCTATAGTGAACCCCAGAAGATTGGAACATAGATTCAGGATGGTTAATGCTGGGGTTCCCTATACTTTACTTTGAGGGCATGAGGCTAATGATGTTCCAACTTCCTGGGCTTCTACTGTAAGGCTTTAATCTGGGTTCCTGTAGCAGGTTCTATCAGGGTTATTGTAGAAATATCAGCCCTAATCCCAAACCCAGAATCTCTGAACCGGAAACCCTATAAGCCCTAAACACCAAAATTTCTGTACCCTCAACCCTAAGCCCACAGAGACGGAAAGGACTCTGTTCCGTCCTACTCTTCGGCGGTGCTAGGAGTGTCATTGCGCGGAAGCCTCAGGCAGGTTTCTTTGGGTTTAGGGTTTTATAAGGTTTATAGGGCTTATATAGGGTTTAGGGCTTAGGGTTTAGGGCTCATGGATTATAGGATTTAGGGTTTATAGGGTTTAGGGTCACGCGAGGGTTGAGGGTTTAGGGTTTATGTTGCACATGTTCTTGGTGTAAGGGGCTGACACGCTTTGTGGCAGCCTTACGAATGAAAAAACAATGTTCAATAGGGTGATGGGTTTCTCTGATATGACTAGCGTCTATAAGTATTCCGGTCCTGACAAGCACAGGTTTGGTATGCTGGCAGTATGCGAGGTGCATTGTTGAATCAGGCGGACTGCTACATGTCAACTTTGTGCAATCAGTATTCTAGCCCGAACAGCCCGAGCTCGCTAACCTCAAGCACCCTGAAGCCAACCCGCGACAGAGGCCTGGCGCAGCAGAGCGCGGATTCGGGGGTGCCCCAGAGGCCACGACAGCCTGTAGGAGTGACATGAGGGACGAGGCAAGCTCGAAAGCGGCTGTGGGGTGTTTAGGGTTTAGGTTTTGGGGTACTTGGCAGGAAACCCTTGAAGGGATATGCCTTCCGCCTTCTAGATCCTGTTAAGGCACAAGACGGTGTTTGGGGTTTAGGGGATGGTGCTTTCCGGAAAGACCCCAAATCGTAGGATCCATCCTACTTGTGTATATAGGGCCCATTCTACATGAGAACCTGCCTAACGCCTGAAAAATCCTAAAGCCGAACTGGCTTCTAGAAGCCTTACAGTAACCCCCCCAAAAAACACCCTAGACCGTAGCGAATATCCTACTACGCCCTATGAGCCTAGACCCCGGACTCGACACCCAAACCGTCCGCTTCCCTCGGTGCGCCTTCGACAGGCTCTTGGAACCGGAGACGCGGATGCTGGACCCATTCCTGTGGTCGGGTTGAGGGTTCATAAGGGGTGTACTGCAGAGTTTGTGGGTTTAGGGGCGCTTCACTATGTGAGCTTGATAAAGAACTGGGGTGTAAAAACATTATATCAGACATATCTGCTTTCGGTTTATAAGCCGAATTATCAGACCTCGGCCTAGGCTGTTGTAGGTTTGAGAGGTCGAGGTTTAGGGACCTGGGCGTTGCGGCTGGGTGAGTCCTAGCATGTGCTAGGGGTCCCTTCTCTTGACACCCTCCCAAATCACTGTTTAACTAGACCGTCCAGACAATGCACAAAAACAATCAACAGTACAGAATGTGTCATCAACGCGGAGCTCTCAAGCCACCCCAGCCACAGATCCTGGGCTTTCAAACGTGGTGCATGTTCTCACTTACCTCAGTACTTTCGTCTGGCAAGATCCCAACAAGAGAACAGCACCTACAACAGATACCACAAACCTAGCAAGACTGGCCCAGCATACCTCTAACCTATGCCCCTACCGCATCCACCGAGCGTCAGCGTAGCTCCTGCCCCACGAGCCGCTGCGAATAGCTCTTCTCGAAAGGGTTCGTAGATTACCTGAGGATTGGGCTTCTTTGGTGGGTAATGGTAGATGTATGTTAGGCTTAGGCTATCGAGATCTGTTTGTTGGACAGCTCTGCATCCTGCTCGTGCTTTTGCGTTGTGGTCCGTGGCAGGCCTATAACTATATTGTGTTGCTAGTCGTGTTCGGCTGTTCCCAGTCTCATTCGGAAGACTATCCTGACTCACTGCAACCCCAGTGGTTAATCACTGGGCTCCATTGGTGATATCTTGGTTGCCTAACCTGCGATGGCCACTTTTGATGAAAGCTATAGTTGAAACTTTTGCTGAGCAATTATGCTAGTGCTGTTGTTGCTGTTGCAAAGGGACATCATCGTCGTTGACTCTATTACCCACGAAAGACATGAACATATAATCACGGTGATTCTGGGTTTTCTGTGGTTCACACCCAAGCCGAGCAACGTGACGGTTGCTCTTGATCCAGGTGAGGTGCTGCCGACACTGCAGTTCTGAAGCACTTAGAGAGTGTGTCGATGAAGCATGCTGTCTGTGCTCTTGTCGCTGTTGATGATGTTCTTGATGGAACTTGCCAATAATGCTGGCGCATGTAACACTGCACAGTCAATGTGAACTGCGAACCGCTACTAGTATCTAGCTTCGAAGAGGATGATGATGACGATGATGATGACGACGCTGATGACGAAAATGACAACGACAGTGGCAATAGTGACGAATAAGAATGATACAATGAAGGCCGTGAGGATTGCCTGGATTTGCCTTGTGCCAAATTCTAGTTGATGCATTCAGCTTGTCGAGACAGTCTGAAGTAGTCTTTCGAAGGTAGTATGACAACTGTGTCATTGCTGCTACTGGTTCTGTGAGTGCCGTTGGCCTGCCCTCCGTGTCTAGTATCAGTGAGATGCCGGAGACATGCCCTAAGAAATGTTCCTCTGCTTGCTGCTGCTGATATCGCGATCAGGGTTGCAGAGTGTGCTGTATCCTACTTCCATTGCAATCGCTGAACGTTCCGACTTCTCGTATATACGTACTGGGATAGCAAGCCGCTTCATGACGATGACTTGTCTTCATCTTTTCACGGTGGCCACGCCTAAGATTGTTCTTCCTACTTCTTCCATTGCCAGTGCTTACAGAGAACGGATTGAGATAGACCCTAGTTGAATTACCCTAAAGCTCATCAGCAAACACCAAGAAGCAACACCCTAATGGTCCAAGTATGCAGCTAAGTGCCAGCGAGCATCACCCACTTGTAGCTCGCCGTCGAAAGCTACTCCGATGGAAACTGCAGACATCCTTCCATCCGGTTTAGGGCAATTCTACATGGCCCTTGAAGAGGTCTTGGGGTTTTCTGGGGGCGGGGGGCGGTGGTAAATGATCGGTTATCCACTCTGTCTTCTTCCGCGTAGGGGGCTTTAGCTTTCGAGCTTCCAGCTCTAGGGATTCGGGTCTTCAGGGTGTTTGGGGGTGTAGGGCTACAGGAGTTAAGGCTTACAGGGGTTCTGGTTGGGCCAACTTTTTTCCCTGCGCTTAAGAGCCTGAATCAGAAACTCTAGATCCAAAAATGTGGGGTTTCTGAAAATTCCGGATACCTTATTCTGGGACCCTTAATAATAAGGATCCTACTATTTAGGGTATCATATTAGGGTCCCCTATTTTCGGAAACTCTTTTGTAGCAAAAAGGAGCCGGACAGCTTGGGAACCAACATTCAACTAAGCCCTCATCCGCCGCTCGCATAATGGTTTAGGGTTTAGGGGTTAGGGTTTTGAGAAGGCTGAAACTCGAAACACTCCCTCTGAGCGGAACTAGTCCAACATGAACCATTCTGAGTGCTACGGGGTAGTTTGCATTACATGGCTCGGTGGTTTTGCAGCTGGGTTTGGGCCTACGCACCAGACTTGCGGTGCCCATATCGCATATTGGACGAACGGTGGCCCAAACAAAATTCTGTTCCTGAGGTTGCATTTGGGAGGTCCCTTCCGCTGGTGGTTCCGTTTGGGATTTCCTGTCCGTTTAAAAGCAATTTCTGGTTTGCATTCCTGTCGGCACTTCCGTTTGGGCTTCCGCTTGTCGGGGACCTTTGCAAACGGAGCCCGAAAGGGAAAGCCGGCACTCCCACACCGCAAAACGGAACCGGTGACGGAAAACCCGGCACCCTCCGAAAACTGAAAACAACAAAATGGGTGCCGGGATTTGCGTTCCCGGTCCTGTTTTGGAATTTGGCGGTGACGGGTTTTCCGTTCCCGGTTGAAAGGAAGCGACCTCGACAACGGAACCCCGAACGGAACCGAACGAAAACAAAACGGATAAGATAACGGAAGCGACAATGGAAGGCTATGGGGCCAATGGAATGGAATGAAATGTGCCTTGTTACCCAAGTGGGCATCATAACGCCAAACCCAGAATTGGAAACCAGAAGTGCGAAATCTGAACACGCGAATCCCTCAACCAGTTTAAGTTGAGGGGATCCGAAAGGGCATACTCGTGGCTGAAAAAACCCCAAAGGTGAGATGCCCAAAGTTTAAAGGTACTCAGATGCACTTTCTTGCTTGCCTTGCCTGGCCGATTGCACAATCTACGACAAAGGCACGACAAAACTATCAAGTTTAGGTGGAGATGGACGTTGTTGGCAACTCCGGTCGTCAACAGAACCATAAGGCCATTAGGAAGCTAGCATCTCCATATAGCCTCATCGGGAAGTGCATTCCGAATGTTCCCTTCGGTGAACCTACCATAATCCGTGCCACGCGGCGGCTGTCCAGCTGCAAAATTGGTGGTGCCATCAATGGGGTCCACGATCCACAGCCAGCCTTGTAGCAAACCCCTGGACTGTCACCCTATAACATACAATAAAGCCTTCAAGCTACCTCAACCCGACAAAAATCAACCTTGTTTAGGGTTCACTATGATGGTTTCATTGTACAAGCCCTTCAAGAGGAAAGTTATTTGGGTTCAGGTACACCCTGGAACCCCAAAACCATGACGGAGACTCTCCACCATGGGTTTACAGCTTGTGGGCTTTGGGCAGTTTGAGGTCCCCAACGAAGCACTCAGTACGGCAGCTTTATAAAAAGGACCCTAACGGCGACACTAATGTAGAGGACTACCCCTATCTTTTGGGCCCGGAGGCATACAACAAGAAAGTCCTGCGCCCCCAATTCCTAATGCAGGGCCTGAACAGTGGGAGCAAGCCTGGCTTCTTTTTACGGAAGGCGGAGGGCGCTGCACTACACACATTAGCAATCTGATGATACCCATTTTATCCGTACAAATACATAGGCACATATACACATATACACATAGACATCTGCGTATACATAAACATATATGGCTTCCTCGACACATACAGGCTAAGTAATAGCAGCCGGTAGTTCTGAATGCAGGACTGCAGACATCCGACTTTATCTGGGATGTTTGGGGCTAAGTAGGTGGCCTCAACCCAAGAACCAAAGTCCTAGACTGAGCTGCTAAGCCGTAAACCCCCAAAACCCTAAACCCTAAACCCTGAGCCCTAAACCCTAAACCCTGAACCCTAAACCCTAAACCCTAAACCCCAAAACCCTAAGCCCTAAACCCCAAAAACCCTAAGCCCCTAAACTGTGCCCTAAACCCCAAAAGTCTAAACCGCCAAGATTCCGTCGGAGGCCAGCGTGGCGTCCAGGTCCGGCCCGGCCGACTCCTGCTTAGGGTTTAGGTTTTATAAGGCTTTGGGTTTAGGGTTTAGGGTATTTAGGGTTTGGGGTTTAGGGTTCAGGGTACTTAGGGTTTAGAGGGTTTAGGGTTTGGGTTTAGGGTGCATAGGGTTTAGGGTTTGGGTTTAGGGCTTAGGGTTTAGGGCATTTGGGGCTTGGGGGCTTGGGGTTTAGTGAGTTTGGTTCCATTGGCTCCGGTGTTGACCAAACGAAGTTCAGGGCAGGGTCTTGGAGACAAAGGCGTTTTAGGGAGGGGTTTTATGGCTTTAGGCTTTTGGGGTTTAGGGGTTTAGGGTTTCTAGGGTTGCAGGATTCGGGGCTTGTGTGACAGTTAGCTTCTAACTGCGATGTGCCTGGAGACTTGAGATACCCACACGAGATATGCATCTAGATGCAGCTATTTCCGACTTTCAGAGCGAAACGGTACTCCCTAAATACTTACTAGGTCGAGGCATCCGTCGTGCACCGGACTGATTTTTCTATGGGAGATGATTCCTGTGTGAAGCTTATTCCATTGGTTCAACTTGCCAGGGTTCCGATCACGGACTGAACTGTCCCAAACTCTATACGCAACCAACTTGGCCAGTTGAGCACAGCCGTTTCCTCGCCGAGGAAGGCATGCGAGGGGAAGTGAAGCTTCACGATGCCACGGATCTTCTCTTCACACTGCTGGTCTACTTCAGTCCTGGGAAGAATGCCGAACTCACAGAAGCAGAAAAACAAGTGATTTAGCATGCAGAATTCTCCGGCAGGTGATTGAAAATAGGAGCCTAGAATCCAAGAAACAACCAACATATGCACCTCAAAAGTTAGAACTGGGAGTTGTGGACTGCCATATATCCAAGAGTTCTAATCAGGAGCCCTACGGAATGATACTACATAGCACGTATTGACGCACCTACGTTTCAAGCTGCGGCATTGCAAGTTATTCAGGCTCCTATGGTAACCGACAAGGAGCAGCAAATCGGCCTCGAATGCCTTGGTCTCGATCACTTCTGCTCCAACCTAGGTTATCGGGAAACCGAAGCGGATTTCAGCTTGTTGTGTTGAGCTCCCTGTCTCCCAAAGAGACTCACAAAAAATCCAAGCTGAGGGTTGCAGGGCCACGGATTGGAGCCTTGGGGGTTCACTATACTCCCCTTGGAACGACAATAAAAATATTAGTTTTCATATTCTCTTGGGCTTTATAATATGAGCAAAAATAGAAATAATTCCTAAGGTGATAGTTCAAGCTATATCAAGGAATGAGTCACAGGCGGATGCGGGAATTAGACTTATGCAGCGGATACAGGGCCAAAGATCTAGCTTAGGGGGTTCAGATTTACAGGGAAGGCAAGGAGTGGGACCCACGAGAATGACATTACTACATGTGGAGATGATGGAACTTGCTGGTCTATAGGGCATTAAGACTCTTGTCCTTGAGCTTTCGAGCTGCCTCTCTGGCGGGCTTTGAGGTGTCTGCAGTCTCCAAGATCCAAAACAAGGGCCGCTGTAAGTAGTGATAGTATTCCCTTGTCGCCCCTATACAACGAAAACGTGAACACACAAGTATACTCTGAAAACCAAATGAAACAAACAACTACCGTGTTGACACATAACTCTACACTGACAACCGAATTACTGACTTCCCCGATTCTTCAAATAAGGGTGCAACTAGAGGACTAGAGACTAGAGGAATCTTATCTCAAGCCCCGAACCCCTAGAACCCCTAAACCCTACATAAAACTAAACCTTATGAAGCTGCAGACTTCAGATGATATTTTTGAGGTAGAAGTTTACGGGCTTCTAGCGGCTGGTGCCCAAGGGGTCACGTAGCCTAGCAAGGACCCCTCACCAGGTGGAGTGGTGTAGCGGTCGAGCAACCGTTATGTCACCCATACCAAAGATCCGCGCAGATCTACGGGTGGTTGTCAGAATTATGGTCCCTTTTTGGGTACCCTGAATATTAGGTGCCGTATTATAACAAGGACCCAAAAATAGAAAGGACCCTAGTCTTGACAACCACCCATATGGGGGGCCCATGTAACAAGGTGCATTTAACACCACCAGTATATACATATGAAAAAAGTCGATGGACCCTGGGGAAAGGAGGGTGACCGTAGTTCCAGACTCTGGCCCCCCGCGTACCATGCACACACCGCACACCGCCTTAGCCCCCATACAACCGTTGAGGACCCCCTATACATATCCGATAGATTCCCTGTAGAACCCATCTCGAACCATTATAGCGCACTTCTAGAAGCCTTATTATTATAGAGCGAAAAACCATCAACTCCAGATCCTAAAATCCTACACCCATACACCCCAAAACCCCTGTGACCGCGCCACCTGGCTGGCAATCAGGAGGCCAGCTGCTTTGGCCGCCTCCGATGCCACCTCCAGTACCTGGCCATGCTTTCGTAGACTCGTATAGTATAGTTTAATACAGCTTAGCATAGCTTTGTATAGTATACGTAGTTTTGTTGTACTGTGGTTTAGTATAGGCTACCTCAGTAGTCAAAAGTTGTAATATTCGCTGCTTAGTTCAGTATGGTGCCTAGCTGCTGAGGTTTCCAACATCTAGGCTTGTACGATTTCGGGGATCGATGATTCGATAAGGGACCTACAGAGGCTCCCCTGAGACTTCGTAACCCTGTTGAATAGACCTCCAGGAGCACAGATGCATCATGGCTGCTTAGAGCTGAAAGCTTTGGTGTTTAGGGGTTTGGGGCTTGAGGGGTTTCTGACTGTTTGAACGAATCTCCTCCATCTGCAGGTGCTTCCGAAATCCCTGTAGAGGAAGGCGGTCATATTGAACCCTCACATCACCATTCTGGTAGAAGTTGTCCTCATGCCGCCTTCTGCGTGAAATCACCTTCTGAGACTCTGATCCCTTGTTAGCAAGAAAACCCAAGCAGAGCCCTCTCCCTGGGGCCCAAACACTGCAACACCCTCCTCCAATGGACCCTGCGGAGCTTCAGGAGCACGGAAGAGCCACCGAGCCGCTGAAAACCACCACACTCATCCCCGTTCAGAGCCGATGGGGGAGGGTGAAGAGATACCCCATGAGCTAAAAGATCTATCTAGTTGGCTCCTGACTTTTAGGATACTAAAGTATGCGGACCGTAGCATAAGAAGAGTTGTATACGGTTAGAACTTTCGAGCTTTTTCAATCGTGTGTGTGACCGTGCTCCGAGGGAAGGATAGAAGTTCAACCAAAGATACACGTAAGATCACCCCCAGGGTTATCCCCAAGGATATACTCTTACATTATGAATTTTGAATCCATGAATTGATGGCCTGTGCCCTGTCCCAAACCCTAAACCCTCGTGAACCCTCGTATCTTTAAGCCCAGCTTCTCTCTAAGATCCCCGGTGATACCCGCAGTAAAGCGTGTGCAAAAGCGACCTTAGGCTCAAAGTGATTAGGGTTCCCGCTTCTGGGTTGTTTGTAGTGTACTTCACTAGGTATTTCATGAGTAGATGTTTACCCGTAGCAATCCTAGAACCTAAACTCTACGCTGGCAACCCTAAACCCTACGGTTGATGATATACTTCCTGCATTACCTTAATTAAGGGCCCTAAACTATGGGAATTATGGTATATTCCTTATTATGGGTCATGCAGGATTTCTATCATCAAACGTAGTGTTGAAACCCTACCCACAGGCTTCAAAGTAGTTCCTTTTCGGGATTACCGTATCGTATAGGATTCTATATATGAACCCCAAAAAAGAACTACTTTGGGGCCTTAAGGTAACCCTAAACTTATACCTAAACCCTAAACCCTTAAACCCTAAACCCCTAAACCCTAAACCCTAGAGACTATAGGTAACCCTAAAACTATTTTGGGTAATGCAGGATTCATATCATCAACCGCAGTGTTGCAGGGTCCCGACACCCAACCCCTGCCTTCTGCACCTCGGCTTCGCTGGCGCCAGGCCTTGCTGCCCACGAAGCTGCCCACCTTGCATGCACTTCTCGGTTTAAGGCCTAGGGCTTTGGGGTTCAGGGGTTTAGGGTTTAGGGTTTTGGGTTTAGGGTTTATAGGGTGTTGGGTTTAGGGGTAAGGGTTTAGGGCTTTAGGGTTTATTGGTAGTTTAGGGGTTTAGGGTTACTCGTAGCCCCGTGCGTAAAGTGCCCCTTCGTGTCCAGTCTCGAAATTTCATTCCTTCCGGATAGAGACCTCTGGAGCACCGCAACATTCAAACGCATCCCGACATGACACACAGTTTGAGGTGATACTGCTGATGGACAAAATCCTGCATTACCCATTATAAGGAATATACCATAGTTCCCATAGTTTAGAGTCGTTAGGGTCATGCAGGATTTTGTCCATCAGCAGTATCCCTATCAGAGCTTAGGTGTCATCAAAAGTATGTGCTTGCGTGGCTCCGAATACAAATGATGTAGTCAACGTATGAGGGGTTTTTGTAAGGCCCATACCTAAACTCCCAAAAGTACGCAGAATCATGGCCCAATACCTGGTTTTATGGTTTAGCCCTCGTGGTTCTCTTGCCGCAGCGCAGCTTCGAGAAGGCCCGGGATGGGCCTGGCTGATTTGTGTACCCTGAGCCCGGCAAGGGGTCCTGCGTACCGTTATGGGGGGTACTTCCCCAAATGAGAGCCGTAATTCCTAACATAGAAACGCTGCTTTCTACTCTACAGGACCCTTTTTCAGCCCTGCTGCAAACCCTACGGGTTTGGGGTTTGTGGGTTGCAGGGACCGATTTAAGGTCTGAGGTTGGGTTTTCAAGGAAGGATGTAGGGTTCAGCGGTTTGGATTAGAGGGAATGAAAGCAGCGGGAGCCATAATTTTAATACTGAGCATACTGAAGCCCAGGCATTAGAACCTAAAACTTGGACCCCTCAAGAAAATCACTGAACCTCTGACGCCTCTACACCCTAAGTCCCAAACGAAGGCCTCTGCTTCCGTTGTCTTTTATAACCCTAAACCCTAAATCCCTCGTAAAAGGACCCCTAAACCCTAAATCCTTCCTAGAAGGCCTCGGCTTCCGTTGTCTTGCATGTCGCAAGCCGGCTGCTGCCGCTGTTCCGGTTGCGCCAAGATTCCAGGGGAGAGGCGAAGAAGTCCTCTCCAAAAGGATCTGATTCGGGTGTTCGCTGGGAACCCTAAGGCCCCAAAGTTGTTCCTTTTTGAGGGTTCGTATATAGAACCCTATAAGGTAATCCCAAAAAAGAACTACTTTGGGGCCTGTGGGTAATGACCCCCCCCTCTATACAGTAAGTCTATATTAGGGGTCTTAGGAGTATCCAAGGTATAAGCTACAAGGGGGAAGCAGAGGTTTCATCAGGTTTGTAAGGGCTGCCCCAACTAAGGTAGACAAATGAACTCTATTCTACTGGTTGGATCTCCGAAAACTCCAAAAAGTGAAACCTGCACGATAAAGGCAAATAGACTAGGGGTCTTTCAGGCTTTAAGGTCTATTGGGGTATGAGGCATTGAGTGTCTACAGAGGCAAGAGCCTACAAGGGAACACGAAACTAACAACCCTAATCTCCGAATGATGGTCTTGGCCCCTGCTTTGGCTGACCTGCTGTATGTTAAGAGCTAGGGTTCAGGAGTTCAGGGGTTTTGGGGTTTACGGTTCAGGGTTTGGCTGCTTAGGGCACCATGCCAACAATCCTCCTTGTTCTCACCATTATGATTTACGCTCGTAGTTTTGTAGGTCAGTATTTGGGAGAGTATATAATCATTGGGTACTTGGACCTTGCTTACAAGCTCATCAAACCTCAAAACTACCCTCTAATTGCAAGCTCTAGTTGTAAACCAAGGCCTGAACGACCACAAACCTCAAGGTTTGAGGTTGTGACGCTTGGACGGGGGGGGGGGGGAAATAGTCCAAGCTTCGAGGGCAATTGAGTCTACGGTCTTGGGTTCAGGGTTTGTTTGGGTTTAGGGTTGATGCGGTTCCCCACCGTCCGTGCCACCTTATAGAACAAGGTGCCATCGCGATTATGGATGACCACCATGTAATAGCTTTTTCCTTCGAAGTCATTGTCGGTGAGGTGGGACTGCAAGAGGGCGCATGAAGACTGCCACAATCCAGTTCCGGTCAGGCCGGCATGGACGGGCAGGAGGGCCCTGCATGGATTTTCTAGCTTCTGGTCCAGAGAGGAGGTCGTCTCTCTCTTAAGCCATTTCGGAATGCTGGATCGCTGACATCCCGGCCACAAGAAATAAAGCAATTCCTGGACCTGGCAGGGATGCGCACTTCTTACAGTTCAACTGGTGTTGCAGGGAGGTGCACGGCCGAGTTCAGCTGGTCACGCGGAGCTCTGCTGGCACCATCCACCGTGGCATGGCGCCGAGCTGCACTGCCACCGTGTAGCCGGCTGCCATGCCGCGCTGGAGGGCGGTTGCGGGCTTGGCGAAGAAAAGGGTTTAGATTGAGGTGTAATACTTTCTCCCGACGCAAGTAGCTGTAGCTTCGCATTTAAGGGAAGTCTATGGATATGTTAGGCACTCGAACTTTTACCGAGGGAAGCCATTGAATGGAACCTTCAATCACATTGGCGATCCGTCTGAACAACTTTGAAGAGTATGAGTATGTGCACTCTTCATATCAACTGTGGCGGAACCCCAAAGCGGGCATTGCATGCGCCGTACTTTGGAGGCTTCGGGTTATGATGGGTTCAGGATGTAAGGTTTAGGCTTGTGATGTCTTTGGACGTGGGGGCAGAGGTTTAAAGATTTGGAATCCATGTCTCGCCTCCGCGCGTCGCAGCCGAGTGTCCGATGTTGCGAGATTGCAGTGGCGCCGGGAGCGCGCAGAGACACCTTCGTACGTCTAGGGTTTTAGGGAAGTGTTTAGAGATTAAGCTTTTCGGGTTTAAAGCGAAGGCTTTGGGATCTAGAGAAAAACCTATAAAGCTTAAGGACATGGAATTAGCTCCCGAAGGACCGTGTGTATGATGGATTTCTCTGTGTATCGACTGGTCATAAGGTTCCCCACAAGCGCCTAAACAAAAACTCGTTCGGGCACAGTACCTACAAGGGGGTATAGGCTTCAATCATTATGCTCGGATGCTCGGGTCCTTATGGTAGTCAAACAGGCACCCTAAAAACCTGAGCCAAAAACTCGCTATCAGGGCCACCATTCCCTTCCGGATTTGGGGGGCACTCATGAAAAAAGGGCCTTCATGATTAGAATGTGGTTTTGGGGCCCATCATACTATAGTTATAATAAGGAACCCCCAAAATAGTACAGGTAACTAGTAAGGCCCCTATGTTACTGCTGCTTGCAAAGCCTGACCAAAAGACCAGTATTGAGGCCGCTGGGAACATTGGTGTGGCAAGACTGAGCCCAGGACCTGAATACCCTAGCGGCCCTGAGTACCAGCTAGAACAGGGTTTTGAGATCCTTTATACCATTAAAAAAAAAGGAACCCCGAAGACGAAGATGGGTAACTATCAAAAATTTAGGCTTCTACAGTACATGCGGAATGAAGCCCCGGCCTCAGTTGGCGGCAGCGTCGGTCGCTGTAAGGCGTACATTGCGCTTTCGACGATGTCTGTTTGCACAATGTGCCGAAGCCCAAAACCCGACTATCCTCTCAATCTTGCTGCTGTTCATAGCCATGTGCGATTTTTAAGCAAACCTGAAATGTTTGTCTGCTACTGCTGGTCCTTATGCAGCACCGGTAATGCTATCTGAGCAGTCTACAGTCCATATTAGGGGACCCTTTGCTACGCCAAACGACAGGACGGATATGGTTAAGGGGTGTAGGGCTTCAGGTTCAGGGTTCTAGGTTCCGGGTTTCGGTTTTCATGCTCCGGGTGTAAGGGTTCAGAATTTGGGGTTCAGGGTTTCCGGGGTCATGTCTCTCTAAGTGCACAACCTCCCAAATGTGTCAACAACCATGCTTCACTCAGAGCCCTTATTAAGAAATGTCGTGTCTTCTCTCCTTAGCTACAGGAAGCAAGCCATAACATCCTAAACCCTACCTTATTAACCCGGAAAACCTACCTTTTGAAGGACTTATATAAGGAAATCATAAGGTTCCTAAAAATGTATGTTATTCAGGGTTAAGGTAAACCCTAGCCGGAAACAGCATCCCGCCTCTCAGAACCCAGGCCAGAAACCCAAACTCTCAACCCAAGGAGGAAAGAGGCTCTGAGAGACCAGGCTCCTTCGTTAAGTGCCCGAAGGACCCCCACCAAACGAGATACCTGGGTAATGGACTTTCCCAAAGGGTCCTAGGTACTGTTATGGGGGATACTTCCCCAAAGCATAATAGTAATTCCTAATATAGAAAGCCTACATTCTACTATAAAGCTACTTTGGACCCTTTGGAACTTGGCTTGGTGTTGAGAGTACAGGGCAACCGGACTAGGACTGAGCACTGTAAGCATCCTACATGCAACGTGCCGAAGCCCCGGCAAAACCAAAGACAACCATTTGTACACAAACCCAAAACCCTACATAAAAACCTAAACCCCTAAACCCCTAATTACACCCTAAACAGGCTTGATTGGAGCTCGCCCCGGCCAGGTTCCCACGCACCACAACAACCTACACCCTGAAACATCCCCGAGCCCGAGCCGCTAAGGCCCCAAAGCCTCGAACAACACAGCTGGAGCATCGTAAGTTGATATTGCTGTGGCTCTGTACGTTTATGAATACACATACAAGAGAGAGAGAGAGAGAGAGAGAGAGAGAGAGAGAGAGAGAGAGAGAGAGACAGAGAGAGAGAGAGAGAGAGAGAGAGAGAGAGAGAGAGAGAGAGAGAGAGAGTGAAAGAGAGAAACATACATATAAACACTAACCCGAGCTTCTGCTCTCTGGCCTCGGGATCGGGGGTCTCCAAATCCCGAGGATCGACCACCAAGACCTCCATTTAAGGGTTTAGGGTTCAGAGTTTGGGGTTCAGCATAGGGTACTGTAGCATCAGGGGCTCATACACTTCTATTTTCCTGTGCATGGAAACATCATGACAAGTCTTCTTATTGTGAGTTGGTTTGTTGGGCTTCGGTCGTTTATTCGGCTCTACACGACCTGCGTGCCTTTCTGAGTGTGTGTTGAAGGTCTCAAGGCTTCCTTCGGGTATCAGGTTTAGCAAGCAACGTACCTTAAACAAAAGGACATGACCCTAAGCAATCGGTGCGTGCACCGTTTTAAAGGTACAGTACCTTGGTTACTCTAACTCAAGGTATACCGAACAAGGTTTACTGCGCAGAAACGGTTTAGGATTTAGTTCTTCAGGGCTTAAGTTTTGCGAGAGCCCCTTTCGAGGCCACACTTTCTGCTACATAGGTATAGGTTTGGGGTGAAGGGCCCTCCTGGCGAAGTGCGGCTGGTCCTTGGCCTAAAACTCTAAGTCCTATCGTAGCCGTCGCAGTACGTGCAAGTCGGAAGCAGGCGAATCCAAATTCATGATGTGGCAAGCATCTAAAGTTGCTCCTTCCATGGACCTTCTTGGAGGATCCGCGGACTTAGTGAGCAGGCTACCTCCACGGATTGCAACTTGAAGTACCTGCATCAAGTACACCAAGAAGGCCGCCGTGGGGCCTTGATCATTAGCAAATAACGACAACATCTGACTGACTGACACTGACACTGCCAGTTGCACATTTCCATTTTACACACGCCCATCATCACGCAGCATCACAGAAAATAGCCGGCTCAAGGGTTTGGAGTCAGAACATTCGCCCATGCAGTTCATGACGAGGAAGTCTCCAAGCCCGACGCAAGACATCAACCACAACCCGATGAAAAGCCCTAAACCTGCTCTAGTCTAAGCCTAGACTACAAACCCCTCGACACTATAAACCCTGAATCCTCAACCCGAAATCCCACAACCAAAACCACCTAAGCCCCTATGCAAACCCTCCACCAAGTACAACACAGCCCTGAACCTCTGAACCCCGAAACACTCCTTGTCGGGTCAGTTTGAACCGAAGCTCTTCAATACCCCCGTCCCAGCCCCCACGCCCCCCCCACCTCATGAGTCGGGTCATGCGAAAGCTTGGCAGTCATGCTAAGGATATTTTTCAGATTTTATGCCTAAGGTTTGAAGCTTTCAATGGGGCAGAAGTTGAGGGATTGAGGGTTTAGGGCTTGAAGTTCTTTTTTACGGGCTCGGGAGCTCAGTGGCTTGAGGCTCTTGGGGCTTAGGAATTCTGGGCTGCAGGGATTTTAGGAGTTGAGGTTTTATTGGTTCAGGTGCTCTGGATAAACGAGAGTCGGCCGACATACTGGGGCTTAATCGGGTCCAGGCCTTTGGGTTACGGTGTGGGCTTAAGCTTGTTGCTTTATCTGCTCTGAACAAGCTTAGTGGTCTTTGTTTTGGGGCTGAGGAGTGTGACGTGTCCAACACCCTAAGGGACCATGTACCCAAATAGTATATACATTGGCCTTAATGTTGTCAATATATAGGTACATTGCGCCCAAAGTGTATACTATTTGGGTACATGGACCCTTAGGGACAGTGAGTTTCGGGTTGTCCTGGAATCAGCCATGGACCGCTCCGCGGCTCATGAACCCATGAACAGAGGACCGAAATCTTACCTTAAACTACCAAACCCTACTTTTTGTAGGTTCTTATTATGGACCCTAATATGGAATTTATAGGGACTCTCCAAAAATGTAGGCTTTGGTAGGTTAAAGGTGCCATGGAAATCAGGTTACCAAGGCAAGTAGAGGGCTGAGGTTGGCATGTGAGCTCATGTGCCCCGGCTGCTATTCTGAGCTATGAGGCTGCGGAAGGAGGTAGTTGTGCTATGCTCCCTTTACGATTGCGACTCTTGCGATTATAATCGCCTCCCGCTAGCATTAAACCCACCCACTAATGTAGAAACTGCCGGCCCCGGGAATTTCGCGGTGTCAGGCCCACAATTGAAAGTTAGTTAAACGCGTTAGGGCGGGCTGGGATTGCATTAGTTCAAAAAGAGGCAAAACTGCAGCAATACTAAAGCGAAAGGACCGGAGCTTTAGGGTTTAGGGGTTTAGGGCTTAGGGCGTAAGTTTAGGGCTTAGGGCTGTAGGGCTTTAGGGCTTTGGGGCTTTAGGGTTTAGGGCTTTAGGGCGGGACTGTCTGCTCTACAGCCGGAACAGCTGCACGATGGGCGGTCTTTGTGTCTGGCTCATTATTATACTCTTAATCCGACTCATACCCGTATGCCCCGAAGCCCCTCCCTAATTTAAAAACTCCGGCCCCGAAATCCAGGTTTTGTATCAGGGGGAAGGGGGGGATCTTTAGTATTAGGGGAAGCGGCGATATAAATAAATAAATAAATAAATAAACAAACAAATAAATATATATATAGAGAGAGAGAGAGGGAGAGACATACAGGTACAATGGTGTACATATATACATATACATATACATATACATATACATACACATACACATACACATACATATACGTATACATATACATATACATATACATATATATATATACATATACATATATATATATATGTGTGTGTATATATATATATATATATCTGTACTGTGTATATATATATATATATGTTTTTATGTACCCTACATACTCAGGATGGTTGGGTTTGGACTTTTTGCGAAGGTAATCTACAGACTTTTTAAAACCCCTCATCGGCTCCTACGCAACCTCTGTAGCCCGCCACAAAATGCCAAAGCCCTAAATGCAAGAAACACCTACGAAACCCTGAAAGCTCGCCTTCCCCGAACCCTAGACCTTACCGCCTTAAGGGATTTCATTGCTTTCATTGCGGCGCCTCAATAATTAGAGTACGGCTCTGTTACGGGTTCTTCTAAAGGCTTCTATAAGGGGTTACGATCAGGCGTTATAAGGGTTTAGAATCTAGGGCTCGTTTATGGGTCCTTTGCAAAGGTTTTACAATAAGGGCTTACTATAATATAAAGGTTTGTGTCAATGTCTGTAGAAGGTCGAGACACGTGCTCTGATGTGCTGACCGTTGGCTGAGGCTCGAGGGTTTCCGGGTTGGCGCTGTGCGGCTCAGGGCTTCTAGGGCTTTGCCGAGCGTGAGTTGTGAGGGCTTGGGGCCAAGAAAAACGGCTCATGGGGCTTAGGGTTTCAGGGTTAGTTCAGGCTCTTATGCGATCACCAAACCTTCCTGGGATTGCACATAACCTTCGCACCAGTGTGCTGGATACTTGATAGTAAACAGTGACTTTATAAGTAAGGGCTTAACTATCTGCTAACCATAAGCCCGATAATAAGGCCCATTAAGAAGGTTTACATGTCAAGCGGGCGATGGAACGGACACCTGTGCCACACTTTTCCGAACACGAACCCAAGGCGAATGCAAACCAGCCGACTTCTAGCAATGAACGTCTCGTCTTGCGGGGTACGCAAGAACCGCTTAATCGCAAGCAAGCTCAGAATTAAGACAATTTCGAACCCCATCTTCTCTCGCACTACCCCTGGCCTTTTGATCGACAGGAATGCATAAGCCTAAAACTGCTTGCAGCTCCATACAAGCTACCCTAAGGCCCAAAAGTAGTTCCTTTTTGGGGTTCATATATAGAATCCTAGAAGGTAATCCCAAAAAGGAACTACTATCGGGCCTTAGGGTAGTCTATCTGAGAGCTTTAGCATCTGCGCGACGTCGTATTATTTACCACCGAAGCGCGACTCTCCTTTCACGGTGCTGTCAGTCGCCTCTTTCTCCTGGGCCGATGCTTTGACGAGGGAGGGTCAGTGAAGACTTTGAACTCAAATAGACATGATGACACTGAAGATGGCGATGGGGAGAAGAAAGCTGAGGAGGAGGAGGGCTCTCGCTAGAAAATGCCGGTGCCGATCTTACTGTCGATGATACCCCGCTCTCCCTTTGTAACTCTTGTAATCACTGAGATTTCGTCGATGAGTTTATGAGTTTCACGATAAATGCCCCCTAACCATCGTGAGCTGCTGAGTTTGCACCGCTGCTTCAGGAATTGAAACGTACGACCACTGTGCAGGTTGCATCCTGTCGATGCTCATGGCCCTCCACTTTCTCTAAACACATGAAACCGTGAAAGGAACCCGAACCCAGCCAGGTTAAAGGGAACTCCAGAAAGTTGGAATATGGTTTCAGGGTAGGATACCCTATAACTTACCATAAAGGGTTTAGGATAATCATATTCCGACTTTCTGGCTTTTACTATAGAGCGGTAGTATTTCTATGTTAGCTAGCGGGGTGTAACCATGATCTTTGGGCCCACAACGTCACAATCCAAAAACCATGCACCAGTCAAGACAGGACTTTTGAACGCCAGCAGTTGCAAGGCGAGGTGCAAAGCTTGCCCTTGCTTTGAACACGACGACTCCAGGGATGAATGAACAAGAACTTTAACACCAAGTTAGGGAAAGCTTGGCAAAAGCAAGGTCTTTGCCCAGCTTCGCTGTCAGTTTTGGACAGCGAGCGCAAATGGGTAGCGGCGATGTACTATCTAGTACAGGCGTCTCCTCTGCTGAGGCCCTAGCCCGCAAACATTAAAAGTTGGCAACTCAGGGCTTTTAGGGTTGAGCGTCCTGTTCATCTCTATGTTCTTCTGGGGAGGTCTCTGGGAAAGGAGAACCCTGACCTGGCAAAGTTGGGTCTAAGCACGGTCTGC